CCCCAGCCCCTTGCGGGGGGGGGGGGGGGCCTCATCCTCTGGCTCAGCCTGGGGTTAATCATTACCAGCTGGCCACTGCCTCGCCCTACACTCAAACACTGGTGATTCCCCCCCCCCCGAAATGCTTACACAGGTAGGGCCCAGGGCCCCACAAAATCCCAGTACCTCCCAGTAACCTCCCCGTCAGGTCCCAGGGCCACTCCTAGGTATGAGGGCCCCAGCGGGCACAAGACCCCCTTCCCACTCAGGATGTGGCCCCTGGCCCAGGCTGATGTGCAGTGCCAAGCCAGATGACGATGCTCCACCCCAGAGGTACCAGGTGCCACCCATGCCAGGGCGCAGAGCCCCCATCCTCCCCGGTGACACGTGCTCCTGGCACGGCCGGACCACACCAGCCTTTCTGGTCCCCCCCTGTCCCTGCCCTGCGGGAGAGCCCTGATTGCTGGGGAGGGCCCCAATTCTCGGGGAGGGCTTCTTGGGCTCTGCTGAACTGCCACCCCAGCCATACCGGGGGGTTTCTGAGGCGTCGGTGCAAAGGGAGCGAAGACGAGGGGACCCTTTGCGCTGCAGTAACAGCAGGGCAGGGATGGGCGGCCTGGGCATCATCACGGGTGTGACACGACCCAGCTGCACCCAATCCCCCGACGGGGTCCACAGCCTCGGTGACAGGCAAGGGGAATGCGGGCAGGGCATGGGCAGGGGACAGGCAGCCACGCTCTGGGCGAACACGACCTCCCCGAAACCCCTCGGCCGTGGGAAGGGCAGCTCCCGCGCAGACGGCGATGCGACTCCCACCGCCCTCGCCCGGCTTGCTGCGCCCTCCCGCACCCGCCACGTTCCGCTCTTCGTGCCAACCCCGGCTCCCGGCTGCACTTCAGCACCGGGGCCGGCCCGTGTCCCCGAGAGCCCCCCCCCAGCCCGCTCAAAGCGAGGGTTTGGTTTAAGGTCTGCAATATTCCTCCTAGCGGAAAACCACAGAGGACGCGCTGCGTGGGAGAGCTGAGCCGCAGCCGCGTCCCCGTCCCCCGAGGGCACCCC